AAGTCAGATCAGATGCAGTGTCCAGTCAGTAGCTGTTATCCAACAAGAAGATCATTCAAATTTAAAGATGAATTTTATTGTAGTTTGACTGCTGTATTTTTTAACCCTACTTAACATAAAATTAATTTAATTCAGCTGTGAGGATGGAGAGAAAGAAGAGAAGATGACAGAGGAAGAATCAGGACAGACAGGGGAAAGCAACAGGTTGGTCTAATATTAGGTGGAAGTGAGGGAACAGCTACTTAATCCCAATCGATAATGTTTAAACTTTATTTTTAAAAACTGTATTAAGATCTGTAATTTTTACAACTAATTTATAATGCTTTTTGACCATATGACTTAGTGAACAACGCCACAGACAAGGGGTGAAGGAGACAGACATGAGGTCGGTCATAGAAGAGACAAGTGAGGACATCAGGTAGGAATAAATACATTAGGGAGGCAGCAAAAACCTATATACCATAATGGTTTGAATTTCTGATGACCATCTCTCATTGTGTTCTTTTTTGGAAAAATTGGGAGAATGTGGAACAGGAAGGTGCAGATGAGGTGAGAGGAGCAGAGAGGACCAGATGATGAAGAAAAGTTAGAGGAGCATAGAGGTTCAGATGATGAAGAGGGAGAGGAGCAGAGAGCTGCAGAGGAGAGTGCTGAGGCAACGCTTGGCCTTTAACACATAAAATGGGGGACATATTTAGGCAGTACATGGTTGAAAATGGCCCACCGAAAGTTTCTGATGGCCCATATCCAAGAGCAGAGAAGAGTAACAGGTGTTTTTCCAAAGGATACTGTTTTCGTTTACTGTCTAATGGAGAGAAAGTTGAACGAGATTGGTTACTGTAAGGGGGGGCAATTGTGTGTTTTCGCATCCAGCTCAAAAATATGTAGCTGCTCCCCTGGACTGAGGACTGGGGGTGCATCTATTGGTGTAAAGGGAGAGGGGCAGAGGAGAAAGAACACAGCCCAAGCAACCAGTGCTGATGAGCTGGGAGTCTGAGACATGTTTTCCCACCTTCACATGCGGCTTCCTGTCAGACAGGAAGTCTGTAATCCACCTGCAGGTGGAGTCAGGCACAATCAGCTGCGAGAGCTTCTCCTGAAGCAGAGCTGGGATGTTTTTATTGAAAGCAGAGCTGAAATCAACAAACAGCATCCTGGTGTAGATACCTGAGGAATCGAGGTGATGGAGGATGTAGTGAAGGGCCAAGCTCTGTTGGAAAACTGTTGTGTTCCAGGAGGGGGTCGGCAATCTCTTTCAGGTGAGAAAGCACAAGGTGCTCAAAGGACTTTATAACTACAGAGGCCAGGGCGACGGGTCTAAAGTCATTAGGTCCTTTCAGCTTTGGATTCTTGGGAATAGGGATAATACTGGAAGTGTAACAAGTCCTTATTTCTTAGGGGGTTGATCACAAATTATTTGAATTTCAACAAGCTTAGGAAATATAAGGAGCCTTTTTCAACATATTGCCCCCCCACCTTATTTTTTTGTAGCAGGGACTAAGAACCTCTAAATAAGATAAGATAAGATAAGATAATCCTTTATTTGTCCCACAGTGGGGAAATTGCAGCGTTGCATCACAGTGAACAGTACAGTAGGAAAAAAGAAGAATACAAAGTATAAAAAATATTCAAAAATATATAAAAAATATACATTAAGTATATACAGACAAGGCAACACTGGTATAAAGTGACAACAGTAAAGTTCTGTGCAAATGATTGATTGTATTAAATTATTGCAGAGTTAAATAGATATGAGTGAAGTATACAATAGATATGCAATAATAACAGGTAAAGTGACGGTGGACATATGGTTGATACGGAGCTAGCATTGTTGGTTGTACAGTCTGACAGCAGCGGGAAGAAAGGATCTGTGGAATCTCTCATTTATACAGCGAGGGTGTATCAGTCTTTCACTGAAGCTGCTCTCCAGAGCAGAGAGAGTGTCCTTCAGGGGGTGGTCCTCATGGTCCAGCATAGACATGAGTTTGGACAGGGCCCTCCTGTCCCCCACCTGCTGTACAGAGTCCAGAGGACAGCCCAGGACTGAGCTGGACCTCTTGATGATCTTGTCTAGTCTTTTTCTGTCCCTCTCTGTGGATGGCTGATGCCACCACAGAGTCGTAGAAGGTCTTCCTGGCTTTTGTAAGGTAAAACCTGATCCTGAATATAATAATAAGATTATACTAAAATTACACATCCACACACATACTGCAATCAGTCGTCTTTGCCCTGCTTCTATTTAATGCCAGTAAACAGTCTTACCACTNTGCAATCAGTCGTCTTTGCCCTGCTTCTATTTAATGCCAGTAAACAGTCTTACCACTACTTAACACATGCAATATGGTTAACAGGCTATGCAAGTTTGTACATATATATTCCCTGCATATACATGTTAGATTTTGAACTGCTCTAATAAAAATAAGTTTTAATGCAAAACGAAAACACCCACAAACAATAACCCTACACACAGTAGTTGTCAATATACTTCACCTTTTGAAAGCTACAGCAGGGAAAATGAAGAGCAAGTACAGACTTAAAGCAGATATGGTAAATTTAAAAAGAATCCATTTGTAAATTTTTTCTCACCTCACCATAATTTCCATTCAGATGTGGAGGGCGTGGCCCTAGGAAGAAGGTAGTTAGTGGAAGCACTGGCACTGGTACTGGGATCTTAAACGTTGGGTACTTTGGTTATTGGTTAACAGTCGATTAAGCACTCTGTCCTAATAGCAATTATTATTATTATTTATTTTTTTAATGATAATATTGAGACGAGTGGCATGAGAGAATATTGTAAATATTACATTGATAATCAAGAGTAACTTTTTGGTTCACAACAGGGCAGAAAAAGTCAATATTGCACTTTCAACCCTTTAAATATTTTTTTTGCATTGTCTGATTGTTGTAAACCAGTCTCTAGACGTCGGTAGTCACAGCATCAAAAAGTTTGGGAACTCTGCTATAGTTCATTTGACCATCCAGCCTGAACGCACAGGAATATGTTGTATCTGCCTAGGCTACTGTCTTTGCAGTACTTTATAACTTCTGTTCATTTGCATATTTGCAGGGAATTTGCACTCCTCAAGCCAACCGTACTAAAAATACATTCTTTGTACATTATGAATAAGACTTTAGACTCTATAGCTTCACTTATCTATCTAACCCAGTATTTCCTCCTCAGTTCTGAATATAAAATAATCTAGTTGTGCAAAAATTATTACTCTTAAATAGAAAATCACAACTGAGAGTGTGAATCCACGAAAGAAAGATACATTAGGACCAAAACATCATTTTTTTAAAAATGACCAGCATCCTGCGTCATTCTGCCTTAAATGGATGAATTTATGGAAACCGTTCCATAGTGGATGTAGCTGATCTTATCTCGATAACTAATGATTGATCAAAAAAATGTTTATCTTGCAGTTTCTCTTTTTCACCATGGATGAGTTTGTTCAAGATATATTAAGTCAGTGGGAACTAAGTGAATGGATATACAGATTTAAAGGTAAGCTTTAGGTCAGTGTTGTAAGCTCTGTAATGTATTTGTAATATTCTGCCCTAAAGCAATAGAAAGACAGCCAACAAGACAGCAATATCACAAATTGTTTTGTTATGTCAAGGAAATATTTAGATCAGTAAAAAAGAACAGGACTATCAGTTTTCTGTTATTGCCTTCATAGTGTTTTAAACAATGCAAACATAAAAAAAAAAAAAAAAACAATTGTGTGTAGGTAAGAATGAACAAAATGTGATTTTTTTGTTGTTGCAGATCAAGCAGTTGACCATGAGAGTTTTTATTATCTTGAAGATCAAGACATCAATGAGTTGATTCCAAAAGTTGGACAAAGAGTTAAATTCAAGAAGAGACTCAGGGAGTTAAAGGTAAAAGCCAAATAAGAAAGTGACTATCCATTCCTTACGTGTCTATAAGATAATGCGGGTCAGGTTAAATTAAATTATTACCATCCATCCATCATCCATCCATCGACTGCAGCTTATCATCAGGGTCAAGTGTGGCTGGTAAAAATATCTCCAGGAGTCAAAGTTTTAAAGACAGGGTACTCCCTGCCAGTCCTTTGCTGGGCCCTTGTGGATATTATAGCAGATTATGAGATCAAGTGTGGACTTACATTGATGGTGTTTACAGACAAATCTTAATTCCTCATCATTATTAAATAACTGTTTTTAAAGACTAACAGTCCTCTGGTTTGCAGGAAAATCCTTCTAATCAGAAACAAAGACCACTGCCAGATAAAGATGATCTGTCCTTGGTATGAATTGTTATATTTTTTTCATCTTTTGTTGCATTATACACAAACTATCTTATTTTCTTGAGGCTTGAAGACTATAGCCATTTTAATGATTTAGGAGTAATGTTTTCCCTTTACTCTTGTTTTCAAGTGCTATTCTACACTTATATTTTATCGGAAAGCAATGAATTTGCATTTAGTATTATTATTTAACTTAAGAAACATTATCAAAGCCTACTGCAATTGGTTTGAGTTATTTCTCTGCTTTTTCCCAAGTCTTTGCATTCATCAAGAGTTACAGGTAAGCAGCGAAATATGTCATACTATGTTTTGTACAATATGTTTGTCTTATGAAACAATCCTATGAAAATTGCAAACATAAGATCTATTTTTCTAACTAG